TTCCTTATTCCTTTGGCCTTCTCTTTATGAAGGGAAACTTTGAAGAGGGACAATAGTGGGACACACTACAGCCTGTATTGCTGAACTTAGTTTCTGGTCCAGAACTGGTAATTATTCTCTTCCTTTCCACTATTCATTTGAAATTCCCCTCACACACAGTTGTTATCTTGACTTGTCTTGGAAGCTTACCTAGTCATGTGAACCAAACCTTCATTGTGGAGGTGTCCAAACTCTTTTCAATGACATTATTCATTCACAGTTAAATGGGGCAAGAGAATACCAGGAGGCACTCAAGTAGATCACCTGGTTTCATATGTATTCCTTTCTTACTCATTTTACTAAAGCAGCCCTACACCCTCCTACAATTCAAAGTCAATCACTCCTATCACATGTGGATTCCTCTTCTTGGCTGCTGGTTCCTGACATCAGTAGTCCAATGCTTGTTCAAACCACTGCCGTGATGATTGTGGGCCACTATGATGAGAAGTAGGCACACTCCTGAGTTCACCCCTTATTCTTAATCCCATTCTTCCAATTAGATCTAAAGCCTAACATAAGGGTCTGTGATTTAATGCATATACTGCATCCTGGAGGACGCCACCCAATTACTTCAGGGTTTACTTTTATTGGTGTTTTATCTTTGCCTTTAGAAGTGTTCTGTGAGGTCAGCTCCTTCTGGATGGTGCAATATTTGATATGTGAAGTGGATCCTCTTGTTCTGGATCCATTTGTGCCCCTTCTTTACGATGAAGTGACTACCCTGTTCAGATGCACTGTTGTGTGGGATTCCAAGACTATGGATCAGGAACCCCCAAATCCCCCAGATGCTTATTGAGGCTGTGCAGGCACAAATCCATGCCCAGAATAGGTATATATTCCAGTGAGCATGAACCACTGACCCTTCCAGGATGAAAAGGGTCCAACATAGTCAATTTACTGCTAAGTGGTCTTTATAAATAGCGTCATATTTGAGAAAGAGCCTTGATCTCTGTTGCTGCAGTTTGGATATTCATACAGGGAAGCAGCTAACTTGTCTTGGTACATAGAAGTCTATGATACTGGGCCCATATATCACCTCTATTTCTGCCACCATGGCTAGTTCTTTCAGATGCCCATCAAACCAGTCCTGAGAAGACCGAAATGAATGCTGGTTAATGTCAAGGCCAAAGTCGCTTTGTCTGCTGAGTTCTTCAGTTACTCTTTCATAATTGATGCTTTCTTGTGAACATTAAACAGGATTGATACAGAAATCTTCCTATTTCATGCCACTCCCAATATGTCTATCCACATGCCTCTACTCTATACTTCCCTTTCCTGATCTTTTCCTTTCAAGCTCCTGACAAGATCACCAGACCTTTGGCTACTGTCCAATAATGCATATATATTACCACCATGGACCACTTCTTCTTCCACAAAAAGTGGATGATCACGTATGCTGCTTGCAGTCCTACCCACTGGGAAGATGTTCTCTCTCTCTCTCTGCTGCCTTTCAGGACCATTTCTAAATGTGTGTGTAATACAGTCACCATATATTTTGACTTACTTTCACATGCCAAGCTCATCCAGTAAAACAAGCTTGAGCTTCCCCTCCTCCTTCAACTGGTTATATGGAACCACATACTTTCTTTTCTATCATCTATCTATCTATCTATCTATCTATCTATCTATCTATCTATCATCTATCTATAATTATAGTTTAAGTTCAGGGGTACATGTGCAGACCATGCAGATTTGATACATAGGTATGCATGTGCCATGGTAGTGGTTTGCTGCATCCATTGCCCAGTCATCTACATTATGGATTTCTCCTAATGCTATCACTCCCCAATCCCCCTACCCCCTGCTATTCCTCCCCTAGCCCTCCCAGTGTATAGTGTGTAATGTTCCCCAGGCCACAGTTTGTGATGTTCCCCTCCCTGTGTCCGTGTGTGCTCACTGTTCAACACCCATTTATGAGTGAGAACATGTGGTGTTTGGTTTTCTGTTCTTGTGTCAGTTTGCTGAGAATAATGGTTTCCAGCTTCATCCATGTCCCTGCAAAACACATGAACTCATCCTTTTTTATGGCTGCGTAGTATTCCATGGTGTATATGTGCCACATTTTCTTTATCCAGTCTATCATTGATGGGCATTTGGGTTCGTTCCAGGTCTTTGCTATTGTGAACAGTGCCACAACATACATGTGAATTCATCTTTATAATAGAATGATTTATAATCCTTTGGGTATATACCAAGTAATGGGATTGCTGGGTCAAATAGTATTTCTATTTCTAAATCCTTGAGGAATTGCCACACTGTCTTCCACAATGGTGGAATTAATTTACACTCCCACCAACAGTGTAAAAGTGTTCGTATTTCTCCACATCCTCTCCAGCATCTGTTGTCTCCAGATTTTTTAATGATTGCCATTCTAACTGGCGTGAGGTGGTATCTCAATGTGGTTTTGATTTGCATTTCTCTAATGACCAGTGATGATGAGCATTTTTTCATATGTTTGTTAGCTGCATAAATGTCCTCTTTTGAAAAGTGTCTGCTCATATCCGTTGCCCACTTTTTGATGCATACTTTCATATGGTTCAAACCAAAGGAGAGGCACTGGTGCAACTGTGGTGGGTAGCATGGGGATCTGGGCTATCTGCTCATATACCTAACCTATGTCCTCTGGTTTTCCTTGGATTTAATTAAGGATATTCTGTTTCCACTGTATAATGGGCTACTGCTGGATTCATCCTACTTTATAACTTAGAGGGTATAAAATGTGTTGCTTCAACACCCAAGGATACCTCCCAAGTAATGCACTTCCTTCTTTGTGGGAGATGATGCAAGATGCAGTAACTTTTCTTTTACTCTGGAGGAGATATCCTGGCATTCTTACAACCATTGAACCTATTAAAATTTCTGTAAAGTAATGGGCATATCTTCTACCCTCCAGAGCCCATGTGTCTTACAAAGGCCTCTAGTGTAATAACCACATTTTTCTATTCCTGTCCGATCAGCAAGTCATGGATATAATGGGTCAATGTGATGCCCTGTGGGAGTGTATATTTTGTTTGCCCTGAAGCAAAACTAGAAATGGATGTGTTATCTCTTCCATGTGAAAGTAAAGTTCCTGATTCTCTTTTCAAGTAAATGCAAAAGAATACATTTACCACATCAAAAGCTACATACCACGTAGTTGGGCTTTGCTAATTTACTATAACAATGTTACCACATGTATACTTATGCTACAACCTGCACGTGCTGCACAGGTATCACAGAACTTAGAGTATAATAATAAAAAAAGAAAACGAATATGTGCATATTATCTTTGCTTTTGAAGGGAGATATTTTGACTGATTTAGAGTAAAATGTGAATAGTATATTTCTTGGAGTGGGGATAAAACTGATATTATCCTTCTACCGTACCTGTGTTTTCTAATTTTGCTGAGGGCTTTTTCTGGTATCTTGGGAACTTGCTCAGCCCAGGTGTAGGACAACCTAGAAGTGCCAGAGATTTTATCATCCTCAGGGTAACGTCCGCCAGTAAAGGAGCCAAGTCTGTAGAAAAATACCCCACTTCTCTTCACTAGTTAGTATAATTCTGAGGAGCACTCTAAATTGTTTCTGAGACTTGGAGGGTCCCAGCAGAACTGAGCCAATTGCCTTTTGGTCTTGTCAGTATCTGGTGCTGCATTTTAAAATACTTTTCCATCCTAAGATTATATACAAAATAATATGCTAAGTTCTATTCTTAATGGTTTTATGTCTTTTTGTGCAAACATCTAGTGTTTATTTTTAAGTGTATGAGAATAATAAGGCACTTCATTGTTTTTCAAAATAGCCGATTATTCTGACACAATTTCTTCAATTTAACCTTTCCCCACTGATTCAAAATATTTCAATCGATTTAATAGCATTTTTCCATATTTGGGTTTGACAATAGGCTTTCTTTTCTCATTAGTTCTATATTTATTCCAGTACAATATTATTTTAACATTGTAATTTCACAATATATTTTTAACTTTTAAGTTCAGGAGTACATGTGCAGTTTTGTTACATACGTAAACTGATCCTCTCCCTCCTCCCACCCTCCATCTTCCTGTAGGCCTAAGTGTTTGTTTTTCCCCTCTATGTGTCCATCTTAATACATTTTCATCTGTCAGGGTGGCTTCCCCAAATTATTGTCCTGAATTCTCAGGGCTGTTATTGTAAGGTGAAGTTACACTAATACAATTTAGAGGAGATCGTCAGTTTGTCACAAGTTCTCAAGATATGAAAACCCACCAGCAAGGCTCTATTAGACTCAACGCATCACCTCATGGAAAGACGTGCAGATAGAGATCCTTCACAAGAGAAACCACCCTTATATGGCAAAGTCCTTAAAGGAGGTAGGGGAGTGCATTCTGGAAGGTCTATATTTATAATATGATTCAGCAGTCGAAACAGATTGTCATATTTTTACAACTAAAATCCTGTTTTTTCAACTGAAAATAATTGTATTGTCTAGTAATAAAAACAACAAAATGAATGCATGCTGATGAAAAACAAAAGGATCCACCTTCCCAAATAAACAAAAAGGAAAGTAATTGAAGTGAAAAAATTTTTGAATGCCACTTCCTACCTATTTTCCAGACTTCCTAGCCTCGTGCTCCCCACCCCTTCTTCGGGTTCCAGTCTGGGACAAAGGCCTGCAAAACTGTTAAGGCTTTATTTTCTGGGATGCGAAGGTGAGAGAAGTGTGCGTTTAAGGATATAGAAGAGGAGGAAGCGATTATTTAAAAGCTCCAGCAGAAAACAGAGAAAGCCAAATACAAACTACAAAATATTATGACCCGTTTGGTCTTGGGGATCGCTAAATTAAAAAATAGAGGGGTGGGTGGTGGTGGAGAAAGCAAGAATCAGGAGAAAGGTGGCCCCGCCCACAGTCCCGTCCGCACCCTCCTGCCGCACTGCGGGATGAATGGTAATTGGAAATCTGAGCTCACAGTGACGTGGCCCTTAGGAGACCCAGAGCCAACGCGTTGATTAGTCTCTCCTAGTTGCGGTCTGGTAGTCGTCGGTGGCAGTGGGACGGCTCGCTGTTGCTCTGAAGGCAGGCGAACCAGCTGCCCAGGAAAGGAGGAAAGTGGTAGAAGCCGACTCCACAGGAGCTCTAAGCAGGTTGGTGGGCTCTGAGCGGTGTGGGGGCGGCAGAAGGCAAAGACAAGAGCGGGTCCACGACTGGATTATCGACCCCTTTCCAGATACACAGCAGTTTAGCGTGAGAAATGGATCGGTTGGGGAGGGGATCTCCCAAGGGGCCCGGATTGAGAATGCATACCATTTGAGATCTCCTAGGAGGCTGACGATCAGGCAATGTCTGATTGAGTCCGGCCGGGGGAGGAGACTGCTAGGAAATGGCCTGCTTACTGCATGGCCGCCAGAGGGAGGTGCAGCAGGCAACCAAGGGATGGGGAGTGCGGACCCTACCAAGGTTTTAGGCCTGTGTTCTAGGTATCTTTTCTTCATCCTTTACCCATTTAGAGCTGGAAATGATAGGCTACGGGGGCCGAGGAGAGGAATTGCTGCAGAGGAGGGGGACAGAGATTAGGTCTGGAAAGCAGGTCCCTACTGAGGCAGTTGGGCGGGCGAGCTTCTGACTGAGGGACAGAGGCTAGGAGCGAGAAACTGTTTTTGGTCCCAGCAGGTAGGTCGGTGTAAGCGTCGGCGCTGCTGTAGATCCTGGAGTGAGAATGACAAAGCGCAGAGACCGCAGCAGGTCGTAGTTTGCAATGCCCACATACCTCCCTATCGTCCATCTTGATGCATAAAATGGTGGGCAAAGGAGTAGGGCCTGACGGATACCTAGATTGAAATTCTCTGTGAATAAACCACATATCCGTTCAGCAAGCTCTTCTAACTCCCCCGCCCGGCAAGATGCATTCCAGAAATGGTAATTTGGTGACAGGTAGGAGGAAATAGTAGGGATGAGAGCCTAAAGAAGAGGTTAAAATGTTTTGGAAATAATAATCTTTGATGCCTATTTCTCGAAGGTGGGATAGCCTGTCACAGGTTGGGAAGAGAAGCCGTGAGACAGGATGGAGGAGAAACAGAAGGTGCTAATACTAGGAGAACCATAAATCAACTCCCAGCACCGGTTCTTTGATCAAATGATCAGTCCTGGTAATTGTCGCATTTGTCTTCAGGTCTTTTAGTACGTTCGTGCAGCAGATTTCAAGACTAAGAGAGAAAGACTGCCTCATCCCTGCAGGTAGGTTGCCTGGGGCCCTCTGGTGTAGGGGTATCAAGGATCAGAGTAGAATCTTGGTGACTCACGGCCCTTCCTGCCCGAGTTAAGTGCAGGAGAAACTTAGGAGAGTCTTCAAAAACGGCAAGCCTGTGTCTGATGAGGGAAGAAGGGAGTAAAGGGGCACTCCTGGAGAGCTTATTAGGATCCCAGGGAGCTGAATGAAGTCTGGTCTTTCTATGATTGTCACCCTCCCGCAACTCGTCCTGCATTTTGGTGGTAGGAGTGGCCTGGGCAAGGGATTTTCAGGGAAAATGGTGGGCTTTGGGGCAGCGCTGGGTCTGGGGTGTCCCCTACAGGGCTCACAAAGTTTCTCAGCTGGGAAAACTTTTCTCAAACAGAGCTCTGAATCCTACCAAGTATTCATTCCCTCTTATGTTTTTGATCTTCTAGGAAGAAAAAACAGGAAATAAAAAACTCAACATGGAAAATGTCCCCAAGGAAAACAAAGTTGTGGAGAAGGCCCCAGTGCAGAATGAAGCTCCCACTTTAGGAGGTGGTGAAGACCAGGAGCCTGAAGGAAATATTAGAGGGGTTCAGGCTCCACGTGCCCAGGATTTTGGAGAGGATGTGCCCGATAGGCTTGTTGATAACATTGATATGATAGACGGAGATGCAGATGATATGGAACGGTTCATGGAGGAGATGAGAGAGCTAAGGAGGAAAATTAGGGAACTTCAGTTGAGGTACAGTCTGCGCATTCTTATAGGGGACCCCCCTCAGCATGATCATCATGATGAGTTTTGCCTTATGCCTTGAATTTTGAGGTTAATAATCATAAAATCCCTGCTTTCCAAATTTGCATTTTTCCTAGTATACCTTTAATGTGAACCTTTTGACATTCTTCTGCCATTTTCTGATTAGAGATTGCATTTAGATCTAGTCTGGAAGTTTTTCTGTCAGAAGAGGATTTTCATCAGCTTTCATGGAAAGATGTTTATTGCACACTTTAAAGTTAATAAAGCAATTTAAAAGTAGTCTATAGATATGCTATTTCATTTAGAACCATATGTACGCGCACTATATATAAATATATAATTTATGTGAAATATATATATATGAAACCAGAATGTGCTTTTTCTATGTCGTATAGTTACTGGTACTTTTAAATTTCTTTATGTTTTTTATTGGTTAGCTGGTTTTTTTTTCTCACTTTTTCAAAATTAATACCTATGTTTTGTATGTATCACGAAAAAAAAAAAACAAGAATCAACAAACTTGCCAATCAGCTTATACAGGGAATGAGGACAATTAATAAACACTTGAAGCATGATTTAAAGACCTATAAATCTTATATTACCTGTAGATCTCTCATTTAGAAACATATATCTGATAATAACAGATACATTACATTATAAATGTCTTAGAGAGCTGTGTGGGAATCAAATGAGGTAGTGACTGAGCTCTGTGTCTTGCTCTATTTATACATGCAAGGCTCCAGCCCTCCAGGTGCCCTTCATTTTTAGGGAAGATTCCAAAGAGTGTACCAATCAGGAGTCCAATTGATTTATAGGTGAGTACAGGTTCAAAATCTGAAATGCTTGGGACTAGAAGTATTTCAGATTTCTGTTTTTTTTCCAGTTTTTGAAATACTTGCATGTACACAGAGGTATCTTGAGGATGAAACCCAACTCTAAACATGAAATTTATTTAATTTTGTATATACCTCAAACACATAGCCTGAAGGTAATTTTATACAATATTTTAAATAATTTTGTGTGTGAAACAAACTTTGCATATATGAAGTCAGGTGTGGAATTTTTCCACTTGTAGCATCATATCATGTTCAAAAAGGCTTGGATTTTGGAGCACTTCAGATTTTGGATTTTTGGATTAGCAGTGCTCAACTGTACATGCTTTTCTATTCATCTGCTACTCTGGCTTTCTTTTCCGCACAATGCCATGACTATTAGGCACATCTCCTCTTCTGCTGGGTCTTGCTCCCTCCACTGGCTTCTACCACTGTGGACATACTGGACTCCTGAAGATGACAAAGACCCACCAATTTTGGGTCTTTGTGGACCCTTCAGTGGTTTCACTGGACCCTTCAGTGGTTCAAATCCCCATTTTGCCTTTTCGAAAATGTATGAAATGTTCCTCCCTGCTTTAGAGTTATACTTAAACCAGGTGGATACTTCACCAACACTGCATACAGATGCAAACAACCCTTTATGGTTTTCTTGTACTTCCTTCTTCATCCCCTTCCCCGTGACAAATTTGAGTGGCACTCATGATAGTGTGCTCAGAATTGTATTATCTCTTCCATCCTCTGAGGAATATAGCCCAGTATCTTGACTATCCATTTTCTGTGCAGACATTGCTATGGGTTTCATTCTGCACATACACAGGAGTTGTAGGGATAATTTTATGTTCTCAAGACTGTTTTGGTCCACAGCACCCTGATCTTAGGAGTCCCCAGTAGTCTACACGAACTTACACAGATCCAGATAAGTTTCCTTCTTCCTTTGCTTTGAGATTTGCTGTGTCAAATAAACCTGTAACTAAAGATTGATGGGAAATAATGGCAGGAACTGGGGATCTGGTAGGTGAATCATAGTTTTAAAGCATCATTACAGTCATCACTGTTCCCCACTAGTCTATGCCCTTCTCACAGTAAATATTTTGTCTCATTTATCCTGGCACCCTTAGCGTTTAGTACAGGGCTTGATAAGTTGTAGGACACAACAGTTAATTCTAGCTGAGTTGAATCCTGCGATCTGTACCCAGGGTTGCTTCTGATCATTTATGGGCAAGTACTTATTTTCCCTACAGACTGTAGCTTGCAATTAAAAAGGAACACAGCAGAAGAAGAATTATGCACCAATTTAAAAAAATGCACTCATCATAACATTATATATGTCAGTGTTTATCAACATGTGCTATATAGACCAGCTACATCAAAATTGCCTGAAGAACTGCCTAAAAATTTAGAAAAAATGTGTTTCACTCCATACCCACCATACCCTAGTTAATCAGGCATCTCTGGACTTACATAAATTAAAGTGGAGGCCCCAGCTTTAGTCTAATCTTAGACACCCCTCTCCCCATCCTATATTACATAGAATTGGGTGGTTGGTTGGTTGGTAGACAGATCTGAGACCTGTGAAAACACTACACAGAATTTAATTTATGCATCAGGCATTATTTCACTATTAGATGGTGCCCTTCTTAAAGAGACAATTACTTTTTATTTTTTAATGCTGTTGTCTTTAGTACATAAGTTCTCAGTCTTTGCTTCAGATTTGAAATACCTGAGGATACTTTAAAGTGGAGCTCAGGACCCAATTCCAACCAGTTGAATCAGACTCATTAAAAGTGGGACCAACAGATCTTTACAGTGTGAAAGATCATGTGGTGATTCTGATGTAGAGTTGAGATCTGAGTGAAATTTGTGGCTAAAATATCTTTGATTTATTTTCTATGTACTACCCCTGATTGACTGTGTTACCCTAACGAGGTTAATTCATTTATGTAGAATTTATATTTTGTAAAAGAAATATCATAAGAAGGAGTTATACTCCCAAATCACCATGACATCCTTTTAAGAAAATATTTGCCAGTGTTCGTCCATCTTCACTATCCTATCAAACACTTCAGAATTCCAGTTGGAGCCTGTTTAAAATAAGTAATTCTGGCTGCTATCCAAAATCCACTTTTTGGCAATGGTGCTCAGGTAACTACATTGTTAGCAATCTTTCAGGTGATTCTGATGCACACTAGAGATTAAGGATCACTTGCACATACATTTTTATCTAGATTACATTAAAAACAAACCAATAAAATAAAATATAAATGTCCACCCAAATTCAGGGAACAGAACAACAAGGAGAAGATATATATGGGCACCAAAACTAATTTAAAAACTAAAATAAAAATTTTAGAACATTAAATCATAAAGGGAAAGATTAACATTCACTATGTGAAAAAATATTAAATCTTCTGCAAAGTAAAGCAAGACTGTAAATAAAGTTCAAGGAACTTCAAGAAATTTCATGGTATCCATGATACCATGGAGACTATAGTTAATAACAATATTGTCTGCTTGAAAATTGCTAGGAGAGTAGACATTAAGTGTTCTCACCACAAAAATTGATTAGCATATGAGTTAATGCATGTGTTACATTGCTTGATTCAGTCCTTCCACAATGTGTAAAGATATCAAAACATCATTTTTTGTATCATAAATATGTACAATATTTCTTCTCAACTAAAAATATAAATTAAAATAGAAGATGAGATATGAAGAGCGAAGGCAGCCATCAGCAAGCCAAAAAGAAATCCCTCAGGAGAAATCAAGCCTGCTGACACCATGATCTTGAACTTCCAGCCTCCAGAACTGTGAAAAATAAATTTCTACTATTTAAACTACCAGTGTGTGGCATTTTGTTATGGGAGTCCTAGTAGATTGATAAAAGATATGACACATGTTGATAATTATTAAGGACTAGGGGAGACAGTAATAATCAAAAACTGCTTTGTGGGTGAGGGGTTTTACTCTGGGTGATGAAAATGGTTTGGAACTAGATTGAGGTGATAGTTGCAAAACATTGTGAAGATACTAAATGTTATTGTATTGCTCACTTTAAAATACTTAAGTTTCTGGATATTTTTCATTGTAGAAAAATATATATAATATAAAATTTACATTTTAGCCATTTGTAAATGTACAATTTACTGATATTAAGTGCATTCATTCTGTTTTAGAATCACCACAGGTATTCATCTCCAGAAATTTTTTGTCATTACAAACTGAAACTCTGTACCCATTAAACAATAACTTCCTATTTCCCATTTTCCTCTCCCTATATCCCCTGGTAACCTGTTCTATTTTCTGTCTATATGAATTTGACTTTTCTAGGTATCTCATATGAGTGGAATCATACAGTATGTGCCCTTTGGTGTCTGGCTTTTTTCACTGAGTATGTTTTCAAGGTTCACTAATTTTTTAGCATGTAGCGGAATTTTATTCCTTTCTAAAGCTGACTAACATTCTTTTGTATGTGTATATAACATTGTTTACCCCTTCATCTCTTGATGTATTTGAGTTGCTTCCACCTTTTAGCTACTGTTGATAATGCTGCTAGGAACTTAGATGTGTAAATATCTGTTCCAGAGTCTGCTTTCAATTATTTTGGGCATATACCCAGTTTTAAAATATGGTGATTTTATGTTAATTTTTTTAAGAAAGGACATAATGTTTTTATAGTCGTTGTATAATATTACATTCCCACCAGCAGTGTGCAACGGTTCTAATTTCTCCACACTCTCCTTGCTTTAGTCCATTTTGTGTTGCTAAACCAGAATACCTGAGGATGGGTAACTTATAAAGAAAAGAGGTTTATTTAGCTCATGGTTCTGTGGGCTGGGAAATACAAGAAGTATGGCACCCATATCTGCTCTTCCTCTATTGCAGGCCATGTACTAGGTCAAAATATTGAAGGAAAGTTCAAAAGGAAAGCTGAGATATGCAGAGATAAACAACAACCCACTTTCTAGGGAACTAACCTGTTCCAGTTATAACTAATCCAATCTCATTTGAGTGTGAACTCACTCCCTCCAGAGTAGCACCAAGCCATTCATGAGAGTTCCATCCCCATTATCCAGAAATTTACCACTAGGCCTCATGTCCCAACATCACCACAATGGGGATGAAATATCACCATATATTTTGGTGGGAACAAACTTAGACCACAGCACTCACCAACACTTATTGTTTTGTTTTGTTTTGTTTTTGATAACAGTGATCCTAATAGGCATGAAGTAGTGTCTCACTGTGCTCTTGATTTACATTTCCTTATTGATTAGTGATGTTGGGTATCTTTTCATGTGCTCATTGGCCATTTGTATATCTGTGGAGAAATGTGGATTCAATTTCTTTGCCCATTTTTAAATTAGGTTCTATGTGTATTTTTTGTTCTTTTTATCACTGACTTATGAAAGTTTTAAAATACATTCTAGATTTTAATCCCTCATCAGA